AAAAAAAAAAAAGATTAACAATAAAACGAGGGCAGAACAAGTGGCCAGCAGCACCTCCAAACATCTGATTGAGGGGGTGAGGGCCTGAGTGGGGCTGACAGATGGAAACCGGGGGGACACAGAGCACCTCCCCGTAGAGACTCACCCCCAACTGAGTCGCCGGTCTGCACCCCGGGACACAGACATGTCGGTTTCCTGTCCTCCCTTGCAATGATAACATCCCACATAGTGTCCGGTGGGCAGGAGAGCATTGGACTCTCTAGGAAGGAGGGGCGGGCTTGCTGACCAGTATGTCCGAGGCACAACTTCCCAGATCAGCTAACCTGCACATTTGCTCCGATGACAACCTCCCGGGGTCCTGGGTCCTGCCACGTGAGCCACCTGACCTCGTTCTGCAGCTGTCCCCGCAGGCCTCTGGCCCCGCCTCCCCGGCCTCCCCTCCCCTCATCCGTTGCCATCCCCTTCCTGGAAGACCAAGTGAGCTCCTGCTCCCTCAGAAGCAGCGCTCAAGTCAAATGTCACCAGAAGAGAGCACTGCTCATAGAGTCCTCCACCCCCGGCGTCTCCCCCTCCCCTGGGCGCTTGTTAAAAGGCAAGTGCTGAGCCAATGGGCCTGGGTGACAGATGGAAACTGGGAGGGACATAGATGGACTTTGGCTAGGCCGGGGCTGAGGTGGCTGGGGAGTGCCACACCTTGAGTAGAAAAACTACCAGGGCCAGGCTCGGTGGTTCAGCCTGTCATCCCAGCACTTTGGGAGGCTGAGGCCGGTGGATTGCCTGAGCCCACGGGTTCGAGACCAGCCCAGGCAACTTGGCAAGACCTCGTCTCTATGGCAAATCAAAACATTGGCTGGGCGTGGTAGAGCACGCCTGTAGTTCTGGCTACTTGGAAGACTGAGGCAGAAGGATCGCCGGAGCCTGGCAGGTCGACACTGGGGTGGCGGTGAGCATGCCGCTGCACTCTAGCCCGGGCCACGGAGTGAGGCTCCAATTCAAAATAAATGAATAAATAAAAACAAGAAAAGTTACCGGGAAAGAACAAGAAATTCTAGCTCTGGGAGTTCTAGTTTAGTCTAAACTTTTCATACTGAGAAAATCCTATGACTTTCCAAAAAAGGGAAAAGAAGATTCCTGCAACCTAAAATTGTTTTGAGAATCCAGTAAGAAAACAGTTTGAGCCGGGCTTGGTGGCTCAGCCTGTCATCCCGCACCTTTGGGAGGCTGAGGTGAGTGGATTGCCTGAGCCCGTGGGTTCGAGACCCGCCCAGGCAGCGAGACCTCATCTCTACAATAAATCAAAAAATTAGCCAGGTGCGATACTGCACGCCTGTCGTTCTGGATACTTGTAAGAATGAGGCAGAAGGATCGCCAGAGCACAGTAGGCTGACACTGGGGTGGCCGTGATTGTGCCACTGCACTCCATCCTGGATGATGGAGTGAGACTCCGACTCAAAAAAAAAAATGTCATTTGTAAGTGGCAAGACATATAATACAATTCTATGGGGGGGGAATGGGATAGGGGGGCCGGGAAGGGAATAACGCTTATAAATACAGGAAAAGTTTCTGCAAGAATTCATAAGAAACTGTTAACAGCAGGGTCCTTTGTGGTGTGAGACTGGAAGGGGGATCTTTTATTTTAGTTATAACTTTCTGCTATCGTCAGACATTTTAATTACAAGCTATGAAAAGAACACTCTAATTTTTTTTTTTTTTTGAGTAGAAGTCTCACTCTGTCACCCAGGATGGAGGGCAGTGGCATACTCCTAGCCACCGCAGCCTCGACCTGCTGGGCCCAGGCAATCCTTCCGCCTCAGCCTTCCAAGTAGCTGGAACTACAGGCACATGCCACCACGCCCGGCTAGTTTTTTATTTATTGTAGAGATGGGGTCTCGCCAAGTTGCCCAGGCTGGTCTTCAAACCGTGGGTTCAGGCAATCCTCTCACCTCGGCCTCCCAAAGTGCTGGGATTATAGGCGCAAGCCACCACGCCCGGCCTGAACGCTCTCATTTTTTAAATGTGGGACCCTTGTTGAAATAACCAGGCAGTTCTGGGGCTCCAGGACGTCTACTCTCTTCTTATTAGATCATCTCTGTCCTGACACACCCCTGGAAGCTGGGTTTGGGGTTTTCCTACAACCGGAAATAGTTCCCATATTGTCTCCCGCCATCTGCCCTGCACAGAGTGAGTTTTGGGAGAGGCCATTCTCTGCTGGAATCCTCCAGAGCCTCTGTCTCAGAATAGCAGGGAAGCCACCGGGCCATCAACACCCCCTGTCCCTCTGACCTCACTCCACTCCAAGGCACCTTCGGGCTCCATGAGGGTCCTAAGGCACACCCACCTAGCTCTCTTCCCGGAACCTTGGCACCTCGGTCCTCCCTGCGTGGACCATTCTTCCCTACAGCATTTTCCTTGCTTAGAACATTTCTTTACCTCCTTCACCATCCTGGCCAAAAGTCACCTTCCTGACGACCCTTGCCGAGGAAGCCTTCACCTTGCTCCCTTCTCCAAAGCATGACTTTGTGGCACTTATGCTCCCTGGGCTATCAGACATTTATTTCCCTGCTGTCACTTCAGGGGGCCTGTTCATTTGTTTGTTGTCTGCCTCTGTTCACTGAAATGTAACCTCTATGTTGGAAGACACTTCCGCAGGGATTATTAAAATGCTGAGGGCAGGCTTAGTGGTCCATATGTAATCTCAGCACTTTGGGAGGCTAAGATGGGAGGATTGATTGAGCCCAGGAGTTCTAGATCAGCCCGGGCAATCTAGTGAGACCCCTATCTCTACAAACAATTTTAAAAATTAGGCAGGCGTGGTGCCACACACCTGTAGTCCTAGCTACTCGGGAGGCTGAGGCAGGAGGATCACTTGCGTTCAAGATTGTAAGCCTACAGTTAGCTATGATTGTACCACTGCCCTCCAGCCTGGGAGACAAAGTGAGACCCTGTCTCCGAAAATACACACACACAAAACCCTGAATCCTCAGGGCTTAGGACAGTGCCTAGCACATAGGAGGCCTCCGATGGATGCAGAATGAGGGAGTGAACAGACGGTCTCACCCCCAGTCCTCTTAGAGGTCAGTAGGCAAATAACAAGGCCCAGTCGAGTACTTTCAGCGAGACACGCCAGCACACGTGAGGACATCAAAATGGCTGGAAGCACGATGCCTTTTTAACTAGGGTTGTTATTCAAGCTGTGGGTTGGTGCCACTTGCCTCCATTTTCAACCAAGTTTTGTCCCAGGTTGGACTTCCATCTCTGCCTCCCATTCTGACCTGCCATGCCCTAGAGCTCCCCAGCTCAAGAACGCCAACACCATCCGCTCGCTGTGTTGCTCACGCTGGAAAACTCTAGAGCCCTTGATTTCGGCTCTCTCCACTCCCTCTGCCAACCACCATCCAAACCCTGCTCTCCCACCCAGATGTTGCAATAACCGACTCATGGGGGCCCTGACCTCCGTCTCACCCGGCAAAGCCTGGGTCCCCACTACCCATTCCCAGCCCGTGCTTCTCCCACCCCCACCACTTTCTCTCCAGCTGCCTGGGAAAACACTCCTCTCTCCTCAATCCACAGGTCCAGACTTTTACTCTGAAGCAGACTTCACAAGCAGAACCCACCATACCATTGGATCCCCTGCCCCATTCTCCACCTAAGCCATCTTAGCATGTGTCGCCATGAACCCTCAGCCTATATATCGGTCCCTCTCCGCCAGAAAACCTTGGGGCATGACAGACTGCTTAAGCCAAGGTCATGCACCCAAGGTATTGAAAGAATGAGCATTCTGTCCTTCCAAGGAGAAGGGCTCGACGTGGTTAAACTTGGAAGAAAGCACTAAGACCACAGTGAAAAGAAATTGACAAAGATCTGTGCCTTAGCTTGTTCTCAGTCGTTTTTTGTTTTTTGTTTTTTTTGTCAGAGTCTCAGTCACTCAGGCTGGAGTGCAGTGTCATGCTCACAGCCACTGCAGCCTCAACCTGCTGGGCTCAGATGATCCTTCCAGCTCAGCCTCCCAAGTAGCTGTAACTACAGGTTTGCACCACCACACCTAACTAATTTTTTGATTGATTGTAGAGACAAGGTCATACCAAGTTGCCCAGGCTGGTGTCGAACCCCTGGACTCAAGCAGTCCTCTTGCCTCAGCCTCCCAAAGGGCTGGGATTACAGGTGGGAATCACTGTGACCAGCTTCATCTTCCTTCTTAACCTATTTGAAGGAAAAGCTAAAAGGTACAAATAACAACGACAGTAATCATGATTGATTCTACTTACCTAGGGCTTACTATGTGTCAAGCACTTGTCCAAGTTCTTGACATACATTATCTCATTATACATATCATCCTCACAAGAGTCCTACAAGGTAAGTACCATTATTCTCATTTTAGAGATGAGAAAACCCAAGCACAGAAAAGTTAAGACACTCCCCAAAAGTCACACAGCTGGAAAGTGATCGAGCCAGAGTGCAAGCTCCTGAGTCTGCGCTTGTCCACTCCATCTCCCTAGACCCGAAGACTGTTTCAACACTCCCTATCTTGGAACAGTGTGCTGTAACGAGATGGGTATGGGCTAGGAGCACGGGCTTCCAGCTCAGCAAATAGCCAGGATATAGAAAATGCATAAACAAAGAGGTGGAGTGACCAAAAAAAATCACCTGTCAGGTACAATGTGCTCAGGTGGCAGTGGTGGGAACACTTAAAGCCCAGACTTCTTCACCTCCGTACATTGCAACTATGCGACCAAAAGCTATTTGTCACTGGGTGCAGTGGCTCATACCTGTAATCCCAGCACTTTGGGAGGCAGAGGCAGGAGGGTTGCCTGAGCCCAGGGGTTCAAGACCAGCCTGGGTAACATGGCAAAACTGTGTCTTGTGGTAAGAGCCTTCCCAAAGCAAAGAGAAAGTAATGTGGCATAGTCAATGTACAAGTGCACATGCATAACCCTGTTATGACCCTGTGCCATAAAGTACCCACTCCAAATGCAGGTTGCCATATAAGGGGGACAAAGGGGGTAAAATGTAATATAAGGCAACGTCCTGCTGTGTTCAGGGCTCAGCCTTTGGATGTGAATCCGCTGGGCCAGTGCCGGCATGAATAAACACTGCTTCCTGACAAAGAAGTCTTGGTGCTCCGTCTCTCTGTAAAGGATCCTACCATAGTCTCTACAATAAATCAAAAATATTAGCCGATCGTGATAGCGCACCTGTAGTTCCAGCTACTTGGAAGGCTGAGGCAGAAGGATCACCTGAGCCCAGCAGATCAAGGCTGCAGTGGCCGTGAATGTGCCCCTGTCCTCCAGCCTGGGCAACAGAGTGAGACTCCAACTCAAAAAAATTCAAGAAAGTCAAAGCTCCTATTACTTTACAAAGCACACAGGGAATGGGTGTAGCAGGGTTGGAATTAGACCAGCACCTTGAATTAAATCAGGTTTCCTCACTTAAGAGGACTGTGGTTCTAGCTACTTGGAAGGCTATAGGGGAAAGATCACCTGAGCTCAGCAGCTCAAGTCTGGATGGCCATGGGCATGCCACTGCACTCCCGCCTGGGCGACAGAGTGAGACTCTTACTCAAAAAAAAAAAAAAAGGCAACTAATTATGCCCCCTACAGCTATTGAAATAAAGGAAAAAATACCCCCCAAAATAGAAAATAAAAGTATAAACAGAACAGTTGGATGACCTAGGCTGTTATCCCTTGTTTCCAACTATCTCATTCCATCACTGTCACTCTTGCTTTAACTGAATCCGCATTCTGCCCCAGTGTTTAAATCTCCTCTGCTTCCACCAACCAAACTACCACCCTGCCTGCCTTCCTTTCGGCAGAATGACCTTTGTCCTAAGCTTTGACCAAGCTCCTTCCTTGGTCGTGTCTGATTTTATTTTATTTTATTTTAATTAATATATTTTTTTGAATTGGAGTCTCACTCCGTTGCCCAGGCTGGAGTGCAGTGGCACGCTCATGGCCACCTCTGCCTCGACCTGCTGGGCTCAGATGATCCTTCTTTCTGCCTCAGTCTTCCAAGTAGCTGGAACTACAGGCGAGTGCCACCACACCCAGCTAAATATTTGGGTTATCATAGAGACAAGGTCTCGCCAAGTTGCCCAGGTTGGTTACGAACCCCTGGACTCAGGCAAACCTCTCGCCTTGGCCTCCCAAAAGGCTGGGATGACGGGCATGAGCCACTGCAGCCGGCCTTGATTTTATTTTTGTCACTACCATTAGTGCTCGGATGTGAGGCTCCAATGACTTCTCATTTGCAGACAAATTCTCCAGTTGAGTATAGATGCCCTGGAAATCTCACAGCACATTTATTGAAATCTGCTGCCCATCAGCTCAGGAATAAAGATGTTTTTTGCCTCTGGAAGATACCAGTTTTCACCAAAATTTTTCTAATAGAATTTGAACCATACTAAGTCAGCAAAACTCAACTGTACTTAAGAAGGAAAACTATTTCTCTGCTTATTTTTCTTGGGAAGTTCTTTTTTTTTTTCTTTTTTTTGAGTTGGAGTCTCACTCCATTGCCCAGACTGGAGTACAGTGGTATGCTCACGGCCACCCCAGGGTCGACCTGCTGGGCTCAGGCAATCCTTCCACCTCAGACTCCCAAGTAGCTGGAACTATAGGGGTGCGCTACCACACCCAACTAATTTTTTTAAATTTATTTACTGTAGCGATGAGTTCTTGCCAAGTTGCCTGGGCTGGTCTCAAACCCATGGGCTCAAGCAATTCACTCGCCTCAGCCTCCCAAAGTGCTGAGATTTCAGGCTGAGCCATAGAGCCCAGCCTTGGAAGTTCTTTCAAAAGAGGGTTAAAGACTGAAAAATAACAAATGACTACGTAGCAGTAAGGAGTTGAGAAATTATATAAGTAAACCTACCTTATCAGGCGACTGAAGAAGTATCTGCGTATGACCTTACGGGTTATTCCTTCTTCTGAATTCTGATGTATCTTTAAAAACGACCTTGCACTTAACCAACCACTAGAAGGAAAAAAAGAATGGTTACAGGAATTACCTATCAATAATACAGCTCATTGGTTGTTAATTTGGTGGTCTCAATTAGGATAGAATACATTATGTTGCAGTAACAAAGCACCTTCAAGTCTTAACACAATCATTTTGCTCTTGCCAGTGTTACGTGCCCAGGACTGGTCACCTTGGGTCCAGTGACTTCCTCAGGGTGGGACCCAGGCAGATAGAGCAGCCACCATCTGAAAGTTCACCAGTGATCGTGGAAAAGGACAAATGAGTTCTGGAGGGTCTCAAACCTAATCCAAAACACTCTCACGTAAAGAGACATGCTTAAAGTTCTTAGCGTAACAATTTAAAATACTAAGCATAATGGCAGTACCAGGTACCACTTGGTCAGAATCCAACCACACGGGTGCCGGGCAGGGGAATGTTGTCAAGTGCCTGGAGGGTAGAGAGACAGAAATATTTGGCAAGTGATGCTAATGACTACCACATGGGTCTTTTGAAATAATAACAACAAGGCCGTCCATTCCTGAGACAGCATGTCATTTTCAAAGCACTTTAGTAATGAAATTGCTTTTGCCTCTCCGGCCATACCAAGCTACTTTGCAATAAATGTTTGTTGAGTGAATGATGGAATAGATGAAGAAACTTTACCTTATTAGGTAAAAGGGAAGATGTTGTCGTTCTGCTTCCCTAACAAGGAAAGTGAGACTCAAATATAATTAATTAAGTGGGTTGCCCAAGATCACAGAATTCTTTTTTTTTTTCTTTTTGCCCAGGCTAGAGAGCAGTGGCATGATCACAGCTCATACAGTCTCAACATCCTGAGTGCAGATGATTCCTCCACCTCAGCCTTCCAAGTAGCTGGGATCATAGACACATACCACATGCCTGGCTAATTTTTAAAATTTTTGTAGAGATGAGGTCTCACTATGTTACCCAGGCTGGTCTCGAACAGGGCTCAAGCAATCCTTCCACCTCGGCCTCCCAAAATTCTGGGATTCCAGGTATGAGCCACTATGTCCAGCCTCAAGATCACAGCTTTTTTTTTTTTTTTTCCTTTGGTCAGAGTCTAGCTCCGTTGCCCAGGCTGGAGTGCAGTGGCATGCACACAACCACCACAGCCTTGACCTACTTGACTCAGGAGATCCTTCTGTCTCAGTCTTCCAAGTAGCTGGACTACAGGCTTGCACCACCACGCCCAACTAATTCTTTTTTTTTTTTTTTGGTAGAGATAAGATCTTGCTATGTTGCCCAGGCTGGTCTCGAACTCCTGAGCTCAGGTAATCCTCCGGCTCTCACCTCCCAAAGTGCTGGGATTACAGGTATGAGCCACCACACCTGGCAAGATCACAGAATTCTCAACCAACATATCCTAATGACAAGTTCATCACCCAGAAGTTTCAGCTAAAGAAAACCAAGGTTATGCCTCGGTGATAACTGGATGGTCAGCAAGTCTGTGAGTTTCCCAACCTTTTGACACTTAGACCAGTGATCCCTGTGGGTGCTTCCCTAAGGAGCAAATGTACTTCCTGTTATAAAACAAAGCTGTGTGTGCTGGGCAGGACTGGAAGGGATCAGGGAATGTCTTTATTCTCTGCTTGCCAGATTTTTCTTTGAAAAGCAGCACGCTGGACTCATTAGAATGGGGACGAAACTTATAGAGACATCTAAAAGAGAATGCTAAGAGGAACAAGCGGGCTGCCAGTTCTGATTCTGGCCTCCTCTTCATGTCGGGAAAGGTCAAATCGGGCTGTCTTTTCTGAGTTGCTGGGTGCCCCTCCGCCCGCGCGGTTGCTAGGCAAAGCCTGGCCTCGCTGTGTGTGCGACCGTCCAGCCATCAAGGTCAGAGGGGAGGGCACCGAGAAAGACTGGCAGGGAAACCGTCTCTGAGCAAGTTCGCTCGTTGCTAAGACCCAGAGACCTGAACACACTGAGACAGAGAAGACCACACACCAGAAATGAAGAAGACAGCCTGAGAGAAGAGAAAAGATGTCATAACACCCACCAACTAGCTCTTCTTAAAGACAGTCACAAGGCCTGGGTTTTACTATGTACACATCAGTGACATGGTGGTGAAGACGTGGTTTCTGTGTGAAACAGACTATATTACGCTCTAATCTAACCTTACTAGCCGAGTAGACTTGGGCAAGTGACTTCATTTCGGAACATCAAGTTTCTCATCCGTAAAAATGGGGATGAGATTGGTACCAGCTTCGTGGGTTTATTGTGAGACTTGCGCCGGATAAAAGATTTCAAGCTCTTAGCACAATGACAATGCCAGGTATCACTACTAGTAATAGTTCCACTGCTCAAAAGATGGTTTTAAATAAATGATATGTGTACCTTGTAAAGCAATACAAATTGAAGGGGGAAAAAAGGCAGCCATGGAGACTGGCAGTGAGAAAAGGAAGCAAATAGAGATAAGGAAAAAAGAAAACTGGGCCAGGCGTGGTGGCTCACACCTGTAATCCCAGCACGTTGGGAGGCAGAGGCAGGAGAATCATGTGAGCCCAGGAGTTCGAGACCAGCCTAGACAACATAGCGAGGCCATATCTCTATAAAAATAAAAATTGCCAGGCTTGGTGGCTCAGCCTGTAATCCCGTGCTTTGGGAGGCTGAGGTGAGTGGATTGCCTGAGCCCAGGGGTTCGAGACCCACCTGGCAACTTGGCGAAGACCTCATCTCTACAATAAATAAAAAATCAGCCGGGCCTGGTAGCACATGCCTATAATTCCGGCTACTCGGTAGGCTGAGGCGGAAGGATCGCCGGAGCCCAGCAGCTCGAGGCTGCGGTGGCCGGGAGCATGCCACTGCACTCCAGTCTGGGCGACAGAGCGAGACTCCAACTCAAAAATAAATAAATTAATTAAAAATAAATAAATTAAAAAATAAAAATTAAAAAAATTAGCCGGGCATGGTGGTGTGTGCCTGTAGTTCCAGTTACTTGGGAGGCTGAGGCAGAAGGATTGCCTGAGCCCAAGAGATCAAGGCTGAGGTGAGCCATGATTGTGATTGTGCCACTGCACTCCAGCCTGTGCGACAGAGTGAGACTCTGACTCAAAGGAAAAAGAAAACGATTTCTTTGTCTTTCTGATGGTGGGATCTATCTGGCTTTCCTTACCTCTGCTGGCCTCGGCTCTTCCCGCCTGGGCTCACACACAGCTTCTCAGACATCAGTACTACCTGGAGAACCTACGACAGCCTAGATTCCTGGTCCCACTTCCAGAGAGTCTGATTCAGAGGATCTGGAGTGAGGCCCAAGAATCTGCATTTCTACCCAATTTCGGGTGCACTGGGAACCCCTGACATAAGGCACAGCACTCCCTGGTCCCAGACCAACCCAGGTGCGCGATACGTCGTCTTTACGTTATTTGTCGTTTTCGGTATTTCGGCGGCCTTGGTCCGTGTTTTAGAGCCCTCAGGGCTGGCCCAGTGGCTTCTCAGCTGTCTCAAGTTCGCAATGACGGCCCAGGGACGACCCGTGGCCTCGCGTGCCCTCCCTCCTTCCCTCCAAGTGGCAGCTGCCCTCGTCTCCAGAGTGAGTTTTGGTTTGGGTTCCAGCCCTCCTGCTCCGTCCTTGCCCAGAGCCTGGAACAGTTCCATCCCAGCAGATGGTGTCTTTTGTGCCTTGTTCTCCCTAGTTCCCCCTGCAGGACAGAGTTCCGGTCTTTGCTGCCCCGTGAGCAGAACTCCCCATCCTTCCAGGGACCCACCCAGATCTGCACACGGGTTTCGCCTCGGTGACACCTAGGCACATGGTCTCGGAATGCCTGGTGCATAAGGCACAGCACTCCCTGGCCCCAGACCAACCCAGGTGTGCGATATGTCATCTTTGTGTTAGTTGTAGTTTTCTCAGATGGTAAAAACTACAAATAACGGCGGTTCCCGTATCTGGGTTTGCTGCAGACCATGGACTCTGACCCTTGCCTGTCTGGGTTACTCTGATGTCACCACGGCCACTTCCTAGCATGCACTGTCGCCCTCATAGATGAGTCTCAGTTCCTTCTGCACCTGCGGGCTCTGCAGTACCTCAGGAAACTATCACACCAGAGTCTTAAGGTTAAACAGCTGCCATTCATCTCAACAAGAACTTATGGGAAAAAAATCTTGCCTTACATTCCACTGGAGAGAGATAGACGCCAATCAAATCAATCAAAAGTAGCATCTATTGGCCAGGTTTGGTGGCTCGCACCAAAAATCCCAGCACTTTGGGAGGTAGAGTTGAGAGGATTGCCTGAGCCTAGAGGTTTGAGACCAGCCTGGGCAACTCGGTGAGACTTAGTCTCTAGAATAAATAAACAAAATTAGTCGGGCATGGGAGCACGCATTTGTAGTTCCAGTTACTTGGAAGGCTGAGGCAGAAGGATTGCCTGAGCCCAGCAGGTCAAGGCTGCCATAGCCATAAGCATGCCACTGCACTCCAGCTTGGGCGACAGAGTGAGATTCAGACTCAAAAAAAAAAAAAAAAAATGGGGCAGGCACAGTGACTCAAACTTGTAAACCCAGCACTTTGGGAGGCCAAGGCAAGAGGATTGCCTGAGCCCACCGGTTCAAGAACAGCCTGGGCAACTTGACGAGACCTCATCTCTACAACAAATAAAAAAATTTGCTGGGCGTGGTAGCGTGCACCTGTAGATCCAGCTACTTGGAAGGCTGAGGTGGAAGGATCGCCAGAGCCCAGCAGGTCGAGGCTGTGGTGGCCGTAAGCATGCCACCTCACTCCAGCCTGGGCGACAGAGTGAGACTCCCACTCAAAAAAAAAAACAAAAACAAAAAACCATAATGCTATAGGTAGAATGATGTCATTTGTTTCTAAAGACTCTTGATATACTAAAGCAATGAGAAAACAAAAGCGAGATATTTCATGGCAAACTCTGAGGGTAAGTTGTAATCTGCAAGTTATCGTTATCTCAGGGTAAACGCTGCTGCCGCAAGCCCTGCTGGTGAGAATCCTCGGGGCAGTGGGGAAAGGGTTAACCAACAGTTCCCAACCTTTTTGGCCTCGGGGACCAGTTTCATGGAGGACAATTTTTCCTCGGATGAGGGGATGGGATGTGCAGTCAAACCTCACCGCTAATATAATCTGTATTTGCAGCCACCTCCCCCGCTGGCATCAGCACCACCTCAGATCATCAGGCATTAGAGTCTCACAAAGAGCTCACAACCTAGATCCCTCGCATGTGCAGCTCACTCTGATGAGACGCTAACGCCTCTGCTGATCTCCCAGGAGACGGAGCTCAGGCGGTCGTGCCAGCGATAGAGAGCAGCTGTAAACACAGATGAAGCTTTGCTCACTCGCCCACCGCTCACCTCCTGCTGTGTGACCCAGGGGTGGGGGCCCCTGGTTAAATGGCTTCTCTTTGTCCCTCCCAAAACCGTGCGGGCCCACTCTGTTTCTTTTCCCTCTTTAACAGCCAATCGTCTTAAAAGAGCAGTCCTGGGAGAGTCACCAAAAGCCTCCAGCTACCAAATCCATCACTTAGCATGATCAACTCCCAAGACCTTGGTCCCTGCCGACCACAGCCCCTTCCTCTTGAAGGGCTTCCTTCTCCCGACTTCCCGGTCCCCAGTCTCCGACCTGAGTAGAAGCTTGAAAGAGAAGAGGAAGCAAGCTGCCGAGATATTCAGGATATGAGTGTTGCAGAAACAGATGGCAATTAGTAATCCCTCACTATTGCTCTGCCCAGCGTGGGAGCTAGCTCCTAACCCTGTGGTTCATACACTTTTGAACGTCATGGACTTGCAAATAATCATTTACAGACCTGTGATCTGACTTCTTTGAGAAGCGATCGCTGCGGCTCCTGGGTGAACATGGAACCTAAGAAGGGCAGCTGGGTCCTCCCTGGTCCGTCCCATTCGTTCCTCCTGCCGTCATCGTCCCCTACTCTTCCTCACCTTCACGATGCTTCAGTCTTCCTTCTGCTCCTTAACAAGGCTCCTTCTCTCCTCTTAGCACTGCAGCACTAGTCAAGCCCCCTGCTTGAGCTTTTCCCATCCCAGGTCTTCCCATGGCTGGCTCCTTCTCGCCATTCAGGTCTTCACAGCAAAAGCATCTCATCAGACAAGCCTTCCCAAAACTGGTCTCAATAGCTACCGGGTGTCTTTTTCCCAGCCCCCTGTTCTATTTCTTTCCTGACATTTTCTACTATCAGATTGCTTCTTGTTTATTTGTTTTTTGTTTTGGGGGTTTTTTTGAGTTGGAGTCTCATTCTGTCACCCAGACTGGAGTGCAGTGGCCGCTCCCGGCCACCACAGCCTCGACCTGCTGGGCTCTGGCGATCCTTCTGCCTCAGCCTTCCAAGTAGCTGGAACTACAGGCGCGTGCTACCACGCCCGGCTGATTTTTTTGTTGACTTTATTGTAGAGATGAGGTCACGCCAAGTTGCCCAGGCGGGTCTCGAACCCGCGGGCTCAGGCATTGCCCCCCACACACACACACACATATGCACACACACCACTAATGGAGGCACCATGAGAGAGCCTCATTTGTTTCACCCATGAGTGAAACCTCAAGGCATAGAACAATGCCTGACAAAGAGACAGTCAATAAATGGTGGTTGGAAGGCTGTACACCACCATCTACAAGTCACCATCCCTTTGAGAAGGAAGGGATATTCCACCTCAAAGAGGTAGAGACAGAACAGCCCAGTGGCTCAAAGCATGGATCCCAGAGTCAGGCCGGCTGGGTATGAATCCGGGACCACCAGGACTATGTCCCTCTGTCCCAATTTCCTTATCTTTAAATGAGAATTCTGCGGCGCATTCCTCATCCATAAAAAGAAATAAAGTATCGATACTTGCTACAACATGGATGAACCTCAGAAACATCACGCTAAGTGAAAGAAGCCAGGTACAAAAGGCCACATGTCATCTGATTCCATGTATAGGACACATCTAGGTTGGAGAGAGTCACAGAGATGGAAAGCAAAGCAGATGTCTAGCTTCCAGGAACTGCGGGGAGGAGAAAGTGGGGAGTAAGGGGTTAGTGGGGGTGGGGTTTTCTTTAGAGTAATGAATATTTTGGAACTAGATAGAGGTACCACATTGCAAATGCACTAAATGCCACTGGATTTTACAGAGCGGTTAATTTTATGTTAGTGAATTTCACCTCAATAAAAAAAGAAAGACAAAACAGAGTTTTTCATGAGAATTACACAAGACACTGCTTCAGAGTACTTAGCACAATGCGTGATATTTGCCAAACAATTTTAAAAAGATAACTCTTAATAGTAATACAAACAAGCATAATTTTAAAAAACATCACTCAGGCCGGGGGCAGTGGCTCACGCCTATAATCCCAGCACTTTGGGAGGCTGAGGTGAGAAGCTTGCCTGAGCCCACGGGTTCAAGACAAGCCTGGGCAACTTGGTGAGACCTCATCTCTACAATAAATCAAAAAATTAGCTGAGCATGGTGGTGCGTGCCTGTAGTTCCAGCTACTTGGAAGGCTAAGGTGGAAGGATCGCCTGAGCCCAGCAGGTGGAGGCTGCAGTGGCCGTGAGCATGCCACTGCACTCCAGCCTGGGCAACAGAGTGAGAGACTCCAAGTCAAAAAAAAAATCACTTGAACAGGCGTGGTGGCTCAGCCTGTAACCCCCACACTTTGGGAGGCCAAGGCAAGAGGATTGCCTGAGACCGGGGGTTTGAGACCAGCCTGGGCAACTTGGTGAGACCTTGTCTCTACAATAATTCACAAAAACTAGTAGGGCGTGATAGCATGGATCTATAGTTCCAGCTACTTGGAAGGCTGAGGCAGACGGATCGCCGGAGCCTAGCAGGTCGAGGCTGCGGTAGCTGTGAGCATGCCACTGCACTCCAGCCTGGGTGACAAGAGTGACACTCCAACTCAAAAAACAAAAATAAAAAATAAAAATAAATCACTCTATTTAAAAAATGTTTCCCATTTCACTAGAGTGAGATGCAGAAACTTCCTCATGAATCCGCACCAGTCCATGGATTAGAATTTGAGAACCATGAAAATAAACAATCTCGAAGAATAAACTGGACGTTTGTAAAAGGCCCCTTTGGTAGAGCCATCCTAATTCATTTAACAAGAGGAGAGTCGCTGTGAGCAAGACACCTCCTACAAGCGGACGGAGCAAAAGCCCAGGCAGATGAATGTGGACCATTCAGCTCGTCTCACTAAAGCGAGAATGACACACACACACACACACACACACACACACACACACACCCCAAAAGAAACAGCAACAAGCACAACAGCAGCAAAAACAGAGTTTGACCTTATTACCTGATCAGGAAAAATGTGTCAACCCCAAGATAGAATGGGCCGCTCCGAGCATAAAGGTACAGTGGGTTTTTTAGCACTCTGGTTTTCCATTCGAGCACATTATCTGGAACAAACATAAAAAAGCAGCATCTTTCTGTTTAATAGAAGAAAATCATTGATTTTTCTTTTCAGGAGAAGCAAGAGGAACGTCTTCAACCTTCAGCCATAGTGGGAGGGCTTTAAGCATCCCTGTCATTCACTTAGGAGGAGAACTTAGATGGGAATAAAAGGTGGTAACTGAGGCCCCCAGCTGCCATCCAAGCTTTAAACTCCCTATGTCCTCACAATGGCCACAGTCCCTTTGGACTGTAGCTGTATCACCTGTTTGTGGACGGGTGCAGATCTCCCAAGAGCTTCCTTCAACCTGCCCTGGACGGGCCCCACCCCTCAATTCTGGCATCTGGGTTTGCCTCCTGTTCAGAAATTACAGCTGCTGTGGACAGGAGTGCCTCAGGAGGGTATCAACACCGATTTGAGGTGAATGCCCATGTTTGTTGATGCTTCTCTGTTTTTCAGGGAGATGGCATTACGCGAGTTCATAATACCCAGGTGTCGCTATTCACTTGGTAGCCAGGTGTGTGATTTATTTCTAGGGGGTGCCACTGGACACTGGCCTGGAAAGCTCACTCGTGGGAGCCCATGAGCTGCGGTTCTGAAGCAGAAGGAAGTGGGGAGGCTGCCAACCTCACGTCCCATGGTCCCACTTGATCCCCCCACACCCAAGCGCCTCTCTTTCCCGACCGTTCCTACAGTAAGGGACCTTTAACTCTCCACACCCAAAGACAGCCATGCGGTCAGCTGACTGGTGTGTCCCGAGACGATCCAGAGGAGACTCAAGATGCGGATGCCATTCAGGGCAGGGCAGGTGGTTCCCGGTGTCTTTGTAGTCCAGATGGCCGGCACATTCTTCTGCCACGAAAAACACTGAGCCACGGCATCTAGAAACCCTGACCTATCCACACACCCCTCCCCAGTGAGAGCTCTCCAACTCTGACCCCTGGCTGCTCGGCCCAGGTCTCCCCAGGGTGCCATCTTGATCTGTCCGTGGACTTTCCTACTCCATCTCCCTCCCTGTGAACCTTGACTTCCCCTAACAGATTTGACTTGAGATCGGTGTCCCACAACGCCTTGCACAGAACACACTGCCCCGACTTCAGGCCCCATAGGTGCCAACCCCTGACCTGAGTCCTGTCTGGTGAAGAGTTACGGGAAGAAGAATATAGACATCAGGAAGAATGCCCATAACCCACAAAGCCAGCATTTCACTTGAAGCGGCATCCCTGGGTACACTCCCAAGAATGGGCCACTTACAACCACGTCCCAAGTGTAGGTCAAGGTAACAACACAGAGAGGCAAGTGGCACAGTGGCTAAGGGTGCAGGCCTTAGAGGTAGACATTCCTGGCTCTGTCCTGGCTGTCATGTATTAGCTCTGTGACTTCGGGCAAGTGAAATCATCTCTCTGTGTCTTAAGTTTCCACAGCTGCCAAATGGGATTCAGCATAGATCTTATAATCACAGGATCATCATGAAGAGCAAACGAGATAATGCGTATTAATCCCTCGGAGGAGAAGCCAACCCGTAGCAGGGCCACAGTTTTAAGCCCTATCACTTTAAGAATTGTTGTTCATATGGCCGGGTGTGGTGGCTCAAGCCTATAATCCCAGCACTTTGGGAGGCTGAGGTAAAAGGATTGCCTGAGCCCAGCAACTGCCTGTTCTGGGTTTGAGAACAGCCTGGGCAATAGCCTTGGAGAGACCTTGTCTCTACAATAAATCAAAAAATTAGCCGGGCGTGGTAGCACATGCCTGTAGTTCCAGTTACTTAAAAAAAAAAAAATTAATACCGTGTACTTAATTTATTCCTTTATTTTTTTTAATGTAATTTGACCTGTACTGAGAGCCAATTTAGTGGCTGGAATTGTGAAGCAGGAACCCCCAAAGCACAAGCCAGCTCCAAGAGACTCAGATTTTCTCCTAGACAGAGCTCAGCACCTTAGGCACTGGGGCACCAAGAAATGCTTGCAAAATTAAAACTTATTCACAAACGAGATCTGGCTTATAACCAAGCTCTGGAAATCTAAATCAGTTTCTTAAATTGAAGAATTTAATTAGCTAACATTTTGAAGTTCTAACCATCAATACGAGCTTTTCCATTTAAGTTATACATCCATGTTTGCGTCTCTGCCTGAAGCCACCACACTCACCCTTTTCATTCAGAGGAATTTTCACCCACCAGAAACTGGCAATGAACATGGTACAAACAGCAGGCTCCTCCAGCTGATGTCCCTGGCTTTTCCTGTCCTGAGAAGCCGTGTGGTGTGATGGAGAGAACAAGACCCTGCCTCTGCCAGGATCTGCCAGGCTCTTCAACCTCCCCTAGCCTCAGTTTCCTGACTTTTAGAATGGGCATAGCTTTCTTTAATGTTTTTTGATTTGGAGTCTCACTCTATCACCCATGCTGGAGTGCAGTGGCACACTCACGGCCACCCAGCGTCAACCTGCTGGGCTCTGGCAATCCTTCCACTTCAGTCTTCCAAGTAGCCAGAGCTACAGGGGCGCGCTACTACACCTGGCTAATTTTTGATTGATTGTAAAGACAAGGTCTCACCAAGTTGCCCAAGCTGGTCTCGAACCCATGGGCTCAGGCAATCCACTCACCTCCGCCTTCCAAAGTGCTGGGGTTACAGGCTGAGTCACCGAGCCCAGTTAGAATGGGCATAGCTTTTGGCAGCATTCTTGTGACGATTCTAGAACAACGTCAGACGTCCAGCTTGATGCCTACCATGGCAGCAAGTGCTCCGGACATTATGTTATTATTATTTTTTTCCATCTAAATTCTACTCCTGGGTGAACTTAACCATCCATGGTTTATAAAGTCTCCTGAAAATAACTGGACTAGAGAAAAGACAACCTTTCTGAGTTTCCCTTTATTTTTTTAAATTTAATTTCCTTTCCATTTGCTCATTTGTAAATGGACAGTATTTATAAACCATAGGGACATGGGGAAGACTAGATGAAACAAGGCATGTGGTCACTCATTCAAAAAGTCCCGTGGTCCCCAGGCCAGCAGCTTCTGCATCACCTGGGAACTTGTGGGAAATGCACATTCCTGGCCAGACTCAGGGACTCAGCCTGTCATCCCAGCACTTTGAGAAGCCGAGGTGAGTGGATTGTCTGAGTCCGCAGGTTTGAGATCAGCCGGGGCATCCAGAAGAGACCTGTTTCTACAATAAACCAAAAATGAGCCGGGCATGGGAGTGCACGCCTGTAGTTCCAGCCACTTGGAAGGCTGAGGTAGAAGGATCCCCAGAGTCCAGCAGGTCGACTCTGGGATGGCCGTGAGTGTGCCACTGCCCTCCAGCCTGGGCGACAGAATGAAACTTCAACTCAAAAAAAAGAGAGAAAGAAATGCACATTCCCAGGCCCACTGCATCCCTACTGAGTCAGAATCTTTGGGCTAGAGCCCAGCAGTCTGTGCTATAACAAGTCCACCAGATGACTCTGATGCCAAAGTTTGAGCCCCGTTAACTGTGACAGTGCTTTCAAATAATTTGTTTTGGCAGCTGGCGCTCATGCTGTCATCCATCTGCGGCCTCTCCGGCTTCGGCAAGTGACCGAGCATGCAGAGGGACGTGCAGAGGCCCTAAGCCACCCAGGAAAGATGGCAGATCACGTGGGCACCTTCCTTTTCTTTTTCTTTCTCTTTTTCTTTTTTTTTTTTTTTGAGTTGGAGTCTCACTGTCGCCCAGACTGCAGTGCAGTGGCCGCTCCCAGCCACCGCAGCCTCGACCTATGGACTCCGGCA